CTTCGTTATAGACTATACTATTATACGTAAGTTATATCTTTCATCAAATTATTACAACTCAGTGGTTGGCGTTAATGTGTTTTCCAACGAGAACAACAGCTGATTTCATACATGAAAGCTGTGGTCAAATTTGTTTTGTGTGGCACATTGTTCCCCATCCCTGATCTACATGGTTTTACTAGTGTTTCATAACCTAGTAAACCCGGTTGCGTTTTTCCTTTTCGTTACAAAAGCTCACTGGACTGATATTTTAATTGTAAACAGAGTTTCTATAAAAACCATTCAGGATTTTAATATCAAATCTCAGTTGTCATTGTCTGCATTGCTACAGTTGATGTGTTCTGTGGCCCTGATGTAAAAGTATTCATGGGTGATCGATCATTAGTGCACAGCCAGGTACATCACGCAGAACAGTATTGCTCCCCGAAATCTCATGGTCTGTTTGAATATTTCATTTTGTTTTTCATTTTGTCAAAGATTCTGTGAAATAAATGTAGCATAAGATGTAGCATGAAACACATGATGCAAACATACACGCGTATCTGACCTTGTTAGTTTTTTTTTGTCTTTACAAGCATCATGCACTGACACACACATTTTGTTCCGAGTGCTGTACAGTGATCATACACCCACACATAAAGCTATCAGTTGAGGTGATGTAGTGAGTCTCTCACACATATTCATTAAAGGAACAGTCCCACATTTCTGTAAGTCGTCTTGTTTACTGCCATCCCCACAGTTATATGAGAAGATGGTTATCAGTTTCGTCTTTGAGCTTTAAGTACAGAGAAGACGAGGACCCTTCTCTTCTTTAGAAGATGAACAACATTTCAAAAATACTCCAAAAATGATAGAGGCAGCAAGCTGAATAGCACACAGTGGCACTATGCTGTTGGTACGTACTTTATGGACAGTCATGTTTTGAGGTGGCATACTTGTACATACAACCATAGAGGGGTGATGTGCGGGACCTTTTAATACTATCTAAAGTGCATGGCCAAGTACATTTAGGGTGTGCCCTACTCCACTTTTGTTATTTAAAAAGGTGTATAACCTGGTCGCAAATTAAGGTGCAAAGAGGTTGTATTAAGTCTCTTTTGCGACTTTGTGCAGGGTGTAAGAGAATCATTTTGTTTGAATTAGACAGGATAGGAGTTTGTTTATTTCTACAATAGATTAAGCTAGGGTTGAATTTCCTCCCTGCCATCTGCCTCTTTGCTTAGGCCATTTCCTGGAACTATATGTGTACAGGTCACACAGAAGAAACTGATATCCATCTAACCATTGAGTTCGAAAAGACAGAACAAGAGGAATCACTAAAATGTCGTCATGTTAGCTTGACATCACACTCACACAGTTATATTTAGACGTGGTGCCCATGCAGTTAGACGGTGGTGACCGTCAGCAGGGAGCTGGTACACAGCCTGTCCTCATTGTTCAACCTGGTCCCATGAGTCAACAGCTCCTCTACTGTCGTCCAGTCATCCAAAAGCTTCCTGTTCCTCAGACGACTGAGCTTCCTCTGACTCAGCTCCAGCACCGTGTTGCACCTCCCTTCTGCAAAAGCTCCGCCTCCTCTGTTGTCCAGCATAGAGCCTTCTCCAACAGAGACTCCTCCTCCTCCTCCAGCGATGGTTCCTCCCCTGGCAATGGTGTCTCGTAAAGTCGCTCCTCTGGCCTGCATCTGCTGCTGCTTCTGCTCACGGGCCAACAGAAAGTGTTCCCTTCTCTCCATGCGACTCCAGTAACGACCCATGAGCATGTCGGTATTGGTCTCCTCGTCTGTGCTCATTCCACTGCGTTCATCCGCTAGCTGAGACGCCCGGTCTCTTAAGAGCTGGTTTCTGGAGACCCTAGAGGTTGTATTGGGTTTGGCGATTGGATTAGATTTCAGCTGAATACCAGAACAGGGATTAGGACTTGTATTCTCATTTATGTGTCCTTTCTTTGTATCCCATCCAACTGCACAGCCAGCCCCTGTGTGGCCCTCCAGGGTGCTGTAGAGACCTCTTCCTCCCCCGCCACCCTGAGACTGACGGTTGGCAGGTTTCGGCCAGGTGTCGTTGACGTCACCAGCCTGAGGAGGGTTGACTAAACTCTGCAAGTGCTGCTGCTCTCTGGCTCGCCTCCTCACCAGCTCCTGCTGCCTCTCTCTGTTCATCTCTTCCTGAATCTGTGCCTCCCTTTCTCTCTCCCTTTCCCTCTCTCTCTCCCTCTCCAGCTCTTTTTCATGAATTTGCCTCTGTTGTTCCAGTTCCCTCTTCATCTCTCTGTCCCTTTCAGCCACCAGTTGCTCTGGCATCATGTTTCTTTCTTGCGAGTGCCACCAGTCATGGTGAGCGATCTGTGCATTAGCGTTGTTGTCGTAGCATCGCTCATGGGTATTGGCACTCCTGATATGCCCTAAAGCATTGGGGTGTTGTTGTGGTGGGAGGGCCAGGGTTGCTGGGTGAGAAGCCATCACACCAGCTACTAGCTCACCTTCCTCTCCAAGGCCCGGTGGCAGGACGTTATGTTGGGGCACACCTCCACAGTGATGCAGGGTTTCTGCACAGTAGGAGGGGGAAGATGGGTGGCTGGCCCGGCGGCGGTACTCCTGCGGAGGAGGGCGATGGTGCAGAGTTCTGCTTCTTCTCAGCATACCTACTGAACTGGAGCCCTCGTGGTGCTGCTGCTGTATGGGTACCAGTGGTCTCCTGTGGCTGGAGGGGGTGCTGCAGGTGGAGAGGACTGGGGCATTAATTCGTGAGACTGCTGCATGGGCATGGGAGGGGTTGAACAGAGCTCCACTGCTGGAGCTGTGACGGTTCAGACAGGGCCGGTCAGCTTTGTGGAACTGGACCGAGGAAACCCTGAAAATTCAAAAAGTGAAGTCAAAAAGCAGCATAAGAACATGTTGTAGGAAATAGTTCAATCAGAAAGAGTTCAATCTAAAAATACATTTTCTTCAGATACGTCTATTTCAGAAGTTATGAAATTCTGGACTCATTTGTTTGGTGTTCTTCGTAGATTACAAAGAATATTAGCTTCAAACATACCAGAAAACCTTTTTAATAATTGGTTTAGGATGAAGTAAATTGTGCTACACATGGTCAAGTTTAGACTGCTTTTTAAACCAAGAGAATTACATTTAATACTAGGGGAATAACCGACTGTTACTTTGTTAAAAAAACAATAATTTATAATTGAAGCAAAGGCAGACAAAGTCAACAAATTCCTAAAGGGTTACTGACATCTTATTTTTAGCTCCTCACTGTTGTTACTAAACCACTGACTATGAGTGTTTCCATAGAAACCTGGTGTTACGTAGCTACATTTTTAGGCTTTGAATAAGGATTTAAATTCAGGTGCAACTGATAATCTAATTTTAGACAACTCTCTGTGTCTTTTTAGCACTCTGACCAAATGTCATCTTCAGTCTCAGATGCTGAAGAAATTAAATGTTTCTTGTCACACCGTAACTGTCATTTTTTAGGGGCTTCTACCTGAAAAGTCCTCGTGGTGGCAGATCAATGATGGACCCAGTGCCGTCCTCCATCTCGACCTGCAGGCGCTGACACTGAGGCTGCACGGCCAGCGCCTCAGGGATGGCCTCCAGCAGCTCCCGGTGGCTCTTGGGGCAGCTGTCACGCCGCTCCCGCCTCTCGCAGGCTTCGCCCTGATGCTGCAGCCTGGCGTTGTACAGCCGCATGCGCTTCTCCAGCAGCCTCTGGAAGTGCCTGAACTCCCCGGTGCTCACGCTGTAGAAGCCCGAGTCACTGAGCTCCGAGGAAATAAAGGACTCAGAGGAGGGAGAGCCGCCACCTCCGAAGCCACCACAACCCCCTGGGGCGAGGTTCCCATGTGAATGGCAGTCCTCCAGGCCTCCCTCCTCAGTCTCCAGCCCAGAGAGGTCACCCTGGTGGATGGAGCCATCAGTCCAGCCCAGACCACTGTCCAGCTCATGGTGGAGGGGCATGAAGCCCAGCGGCTTCTCCATCATGAAGTCCTCGTCATCAGTCTGTAACAACACACATCTTGAGTCCAATGGTAAGATCCCCACAGCAATACACTAAATAACAGTATGCTTACATATTTGATCAGGATATAGTCCCCCCGTACCTTTTAAGTGACAACTAAATGCGTTATTTTAGTGTCAGTTCTGAAACTCCAGTATCTTAATCGGCAGTTATTAAAATTACAACATAAGCTATTAGATATAAAGCATATACCTGACTTTGGAAGCCGTTCGGTTCTTCTAAGTTTGCATTGCAACATCCCATCAGGCAGTTCTGTCCCTTTTGTCCACGACCAGTCAGTTCTGGGTCTTGAGGGATCTATGATAAGAAACAAAGTAAATGAGAAACAATACGAAGCTTGTGTATGTTTATGGCTTCTTCATTTATTATTGATTGCAGGAATTCTTTGTCAAATTTGGACTAAACTGTTGCTGAGGCCAAATTGACATCCAATATTTGTGTGCAAATTAATACAGTTCAATTTTAACATTTATATTTAATGTGTTTATTTCTGGTTCTTAGTGTCACCTTATGGCTGATGTCCATTGTGTCCCGTGGGGAACTGGACAGGTAGCTGTACCGTCCTGCATCACAGTGATCTTGTGGCAGAGCAAGATGGCTGTAATAAAGTCTGAGAATGGAGACAAAAACACAGAATGAAGACCAAATTATTAATTTAGAATCCTCTTACTTATTACAACTTAATATCCTAATATACTGCTTTTGTCCATCCGATTGATCTAAATAACTCTTACTTACTAACTGCATTGCTGATTAGTGCACGATTATTATAACATTGTACTGATCTGTTCACAGAGCTGATTCCTGGTTTGGCTGTGACCTGATTTACTTGTAGTTGTCGTTTAAACGACACAAACTTAAATACTTTCCTGACTTTTTAGAAGATGTTTCAATTTGTAGACATTCATTGAAAATTGTATTTGTTTTTAAGCGGTTTGAAGTGGCAGCTAACAGTTCTCCACAGTAGTCAGATCACTAAGCTGTTTTGATCCTTATCACAACATCTTTCTGTTTGTGTACCTGTCCTGGTAGGAGGGACTGGAGGCGTTGTGTCCCGCCCCCATCATTGGGAGTGGCAGGTTAAGGTGCTGCAGGTTGAGAGGTAGAGGCTCCCAGATTCCCCTGTCTGCCTCGGTGCCACACCCCCTCTGACCCTTGATCTGCATGGTGATTGGACGCTGAGTGGCCGCCAGAATCCGCAGAGCATCGCGCTGGCTCAGGTTTGCAAGACTCCGCCCACTCAACTAAGAAAAACAGAGCAGGGTAAAAGAAGAATGGCATGTTAGCAAACAAATTCCCATTTCTGCATTCGGAAGACAAAGTTGACATGATCCTCTTATTGAAGCCATGTTTGATTTCACCTTAAGAGTTAAAGTGCACTGTTCACTATCCAGTTTGTAACAACAGTCAACAGTTGGTGGCTGTAATGCTAATAAGCTGTGACTGTGATTGCTATTTTCTAGGCAAGTGTATGGGCGGGGCCTAGATACAGCAGCTCCACCCCCTGATTACTAATCTAACTCTTTAAATTAAGTCACAGCACAAGGTGGCATTGCCCATATATGGAATGTTGGCTTCAGCTTTGTACAGTAATGAAACGTCATCCATCTATTTATACAGTCTGTCACAAAAATAGATAGGGATTTTTAACAATTTATGAGTCTGAGGTGCCAGAAAGACTTTTTAAAGTATTTCATTAAATAAGTCATAAAACTACTAGCTTAAAGAGGCTAAAAAGCACCTTAAAGATTTAGAGTATGTTCTCTGTGAATTCAAAAATACCAAAAACGTACTGCCGTTAGACATTTCTCAAGAAAACCTGTATAGGGAAAAAAATAATTCTGAATCTTTAATGGTATAAATGTGTCTTCTCATGGCAACTCTGTTGATTAATTTGATTTGTTATTCATTTAAAGCTTAGGTAGGCTACTTTGGAGACACTTTGCAAGTATACTAGATTTGAAAAGTAAACAAACTTGCCTTGAAAGCCATCCACCCAAAATACATTAAAGGGCATTGCTGAAGTTGATCAATACAAGAATTGTCCAATCGATCCGTAACAGGCAATTTCCAAAATCATAAGCAGGACGTATATATGTCAATATTAAAAGTAATGAAACCCTAAATGACCTCCATCAAAGTATGTTGACTCCATGCACAAACAGTGAGGCTCATTAAACTGGCATTCTCTCCAATGTTACATTAAGTATGCTTGTATAGTCTAGGTAAGAAAAAATGACCCTAGTTCTCACTTGTTTTATGACTTCAGTAAACATTCTCCTAATGAGTTTGTGGTTAGTTTGTGTTAAATATGTTTGAGTAAGATAGACGATAAAGAAAGGTATGCTCTAGGTGTGGCTACCTTGTGATAGACAGACTGCTTGTTTTACGGTTTGGGCCCTCGTCCAAACACGTTTTCTTCTTACAACCCCCAAACTTTCACAGTGTGCTTACAGTTCTTCATAGTTAATTTAAGAATATTGGTCACCTATAAATGTCCTAATCAGGGTTTAGTTGTTCTTTGTTCCACAATCTTGATGACAGTAACCCTGATGCTTTCATGGTGATATTGCCAGGGTAATGTCAGTTTGTGGCTGTTGTGGGAGTTTGACTGATAAGGAGGACTAAAAGCCAACATAATTCCGCCTCTGCAGCACCACTGTCTTTAGAACTTTGCCTGGCAAGTTCAACAACTTAAATCACAAGTAATGCTGTGGTCCAGTTATGCAATGTGAGAAAACAGCATCACTGACACCACGATCAAATTTTAGCTACAACTCTGCCATTTTAACTGCACTTCCAGTCCTTTTTTATAAGTGTGATCACAATACGGGATGAAAACTCTGTCTTACTTGACTTAATGCAATTTGGTCACAAGGCACAGCTCTGCCTGCAGACAGATGGTGGATTTTTTGCTATATAACAGTGGAATTTCTGGCGATTTAAATCAAACATGACGAATATGAACATGGTGTCCATGTTTCCAGTAAAGGGTTAACACCTACGAGCTATCATCAGTCTCATCCTGTTTCACACACGCACTCACATGCACACACATACATACACACACACAAACTCACACACATGCAGCTCAGCAGCATTCGAATTAGACGCATGAACAGTATTGTTACATCCAGCCCATCACATCCATGAGTCACCCTCCGCTACATTCAACCAGGCACTCATGTACACTCACAAAAACACACACACAGATAACATGAGCTGAGAAGTACAAAATGGCACCTGTGTGTGGATACAGAAGACAGCAGCTAAACGACTGTGAGCCGTCAGCAGATGTAGATGACAAAATAAACCACATTCTCGCACAGGAGAAGACAATTCTCCATATTAAAACGTACAAAAATAGTCATGAAATGTTAAGATTTCAAGATGCATAAATTAGGTTTCATAATACACACACAAATGCAGAGTCCTTGAAAAATCATAATATTAAGCCATTTTGCATCTGCATTTACACACGCATGCTTAAGCACACGATCACACACGATCACACACACACACAACTGAACTGTTCTTACATAGCTTATCTTCATCTTCGAATGAGACGTCATTTATAACATTAAGGCAGGTCTTTTGATGCTCACCGTTTGGTCCCCCATCCACGGTCCAGAGAGCCAGCAGCCCATCGTCACGGCAACGGAGGACGGCTGCCTTGGCTCCTGCAAAGATCAACGATGCTGCTGCTTCCTCCAGCAGATCGTTTCCTCCTCCTCCTCCTCCTCTTCCTCCTCCTCCTCCTCCTCCTCCTCTCCTCAGTTTGCGCTTCACTATCACACTCTCCTTAGCATCTGTCCTCACAATCCTCCCTTCTTCTTCTTCTCTTCCTAATTTCAGTCTCTTTCTTTTTTCTTCTATTTCTTAAGCGTCTCTATTCTCTCCCCCCTTCAGAGCTCCAGGTTTTAGCATCCTGCACTCACCCACACATGCATTCGGCTCTGCAAACATAAAAATATGCGCAGGCTGACGTTCAGAGATGGTGAGGGAAACACACGCAGTCACAAGGTGAGGATGGTGCCTGATTGGTGGCCTGCTAAGGATCATCAGCCAATCAGAGGCAGTGGTCTCCCTCTGGATGTCTTCCTCCCTGACTGAAACTCCTCATGAAGCCTCGACGTGTGCAGGAGGGGAGCCTGTGCTGCATCGATACACACAGTAACAGAGGAAACACACCATCCATCTTACAGCTATCCCCCAGGATCCTCCGGCAGATGCTGAGCAAGGGTTGCTGGGAGATGTAGTCATTCATGTCTAGCAGAGGTCTCCTCCTTCAGATTGTGTTCAGTTGTATTATGGAGAACTTCAGTACACACAAAAAAGAGTGATCAGAACTGAACCCGAGGACAGTCTGTGATCTAAACAGACCTGTGGAGCCTTGATACTATATAAGGGTGCTTTCACACTGATATCATAGTATAGGTCCATTGTTTTCAACACTTGAAGTGGACCAAATAACTGTGTTTAAATTTAAAACATGATTTTTCTTCTTCTTTTTTTTTTAATGGACTAGCAATGAGCCAAGAAATCTTTAGGCCAAAATACTTACCAGGCAGGCAGCAAGGGCAGCCTGCTAAAATGATAACATGTCTCTGCAGTCGGGAGGTGTGTTCATGTGTTTAATGCCGGAAAAAAAATAATATAATAACAGGTCAACAGTCGTCACAGTACTCTGTTAACTGATTGGCGTGATGGTATTTGCTGGCTGCGATTTGTAGCTGAATGCCGCTGGCCGCTCTTTGCCACCACTCTTTTGGTTTCTGCATTAAGAAACTGTCAGATGGTACAAACCGTTATGCTCACACCTACAGGGATAAAGAAATTGATGCTTTGTAGGAATTATAGCAGGCGTTAATGACTGATTCAAAAGCACTTTCTGCTGATGAGTCTGCAACAACAATCACAATAACACAGTGAAGCTCATTTTATCTATAATCTTTTTCCCCCCAAGTGCTTCAGTTAAATGCACTTCTTATTGTGCAACTTGCCAGAATGTTTACGCAGCCAACATATCAACTATTCTTGACGACGTGAAACACTAATGTACAATATTGTTCATATGTCAACTATAGGGTCACTCCATTTTCCTCAAGGTTGAAATGTATGTGACGACTTGCCCTATTTTGCTTTTCGGAGATTTCCTAGAATCCACTTTAAAGAGGCCCTATGGGATTTTCTTTGGTGTGTTTATATAGGTTTTTGTGCATGTACATCATCTGCTAAGGCTAAAATCCCAAAGTACCCTCCAGAGGGAGTTTCTCTCCCACACAGTCCCCCCCTGCCTGAGGCGCCACCATTGTACTCCCTTGTTTAATAGTTACAAGTTTAAAGTGATTTAAAGTGGGTCTTAAGGCTTTTCTTAAAATCAGAGAGTGATGCAGAGGTCCTTATATTTTTTGGGATGCTGATTCCACAGGCGTGGACCCAGGGAGGAGAAGGTGCGGTCTCCCATGCTTGCCATTTTTGTCCCATAGAACAGCAAGGAGATTGGAGCTGGCTGACCTGAGTGTGAGTAAAGTTTTTAGTTAGGTAAGTGGGGCCAGTCTGGTTGATGGCTTTGTAGACCATTATGAGTACTGTGTAGGTGATCTGGTAGGTTAGAGGGAGCCAGTGCAGTGAGTGAACCAAGGTAATGCTTTTTTCAAAAGCAAAAAAGACTCCAGAGAATGCTTTGGATATTGTTACTATGCAAGGACAAGAACTAGAAGTGGTTACCTGTTATAAATACCTAGGTATCTGGCCTGTGCTGGACTATGGTGATCTGATCTATATGAATGCACCTGCCCATTGCCTGGAAAAGTTAGATGCCGCCTATCACAGTGCACTGAGATTTACTACTAACTGTAAAGCACTTACTCATCACTGTACCCTGTATGCCAAGGCAGGTCTGCCTTCACTAACTGTACGGAGGCTCAGTCATTGGTACATGTTTATCTAATAAAGCGATGTTGGGTAAACCACCAACCTATATATAGCTCTTGATCATCACAGAGAGTGGCAAGTAGCTATTGCCTGAGATCCCAGGAGATGTGGTTTTAGTTACATGTGGCAAGTGCTTGGACTGTTTTAGGTTCTAAAGCTTTTATGGTGCTGCTGCCTCTAGCTTGGAACACTATGCAAACATTTTGAAACTGAGCATTTTGGTTCCATTGCTCATTTTAAAGCTTGGGATAGATGAATGTTATTAGATGTCATTGTGAATATTATAGGTTGCTAATGTATACCCCTGTAATTATGTTGTATTGAATCGTCCCTTCTGTTACTTCTGTTGGTTTTTATGTGTAACCAATGTGTGGCTTGCAGGTCTCCCTCTGAAAAAGGGCTCGTTGATCTCCCAATGCGTTTTTTTCACCTGGTTAAAATAACAAGGTTACAACCAGTGAGTGAAGGAGTGAGTCTGCTAGACCTATTGCGACCACTGCTTCTACACATATTGCAGAACAGTGCTTCCCGTAACATCAACTACTTCACTATAATGCTCCACACTCGAAAACCCTATTGGCTAGCACTTTACACACATTGTACACGACAGGCTACAGGTGCAGGACATTCCTGAAAAAATCTCTGGCGGTTGACCATCCAACAGGAGCCGACCAGCTAACAAATCAGAGCATACAGCTCTGGGTTTCAGACCGAGGGTGACAACGAGGCTTGACAGCACAGGGCAGCTATGCAAAGAACTGAAGACGTTTTTTTGAACATTATGCACTGGAAAATGTCACAGCAGAGGACAAAACTACAAATATGACTGGAAATTATGCCATTAATATGTCTCTTAATCGGTTTTCTCAACCACCGAAGAACGTGTAAATACCATCAATTTATCGTGAAAGGTGCACATGAG